AGATAAGGAGTCGACGTACGCGCAGCTCGTGCTTCGAGGCCCGTTATCGGTGGAAAAGTGCATTTAATGTGTCCGTCTGGGCGAACTCGCGATAAATCGCGGCGCAACCAAGCGTTTTAAAACGCGGCGTACCCCCGGATCCGGTATGATTTGGTTCGCGGTGAACTTTACTCCTTGATTGACAATCTAGAAACAACGAGCCTCGTCCTCTTTCTCTTTCTCTTTCTCTTCTCTTGCTCCAGCCTCTTTCTTTGCACGAATATTACACTTTTACCATATTTTTCTGCCGTTCTGCTTTCTTGGATTTAATTCTCCTGCTATCTTATCGCACGACGTGTTAATACCAATAATGATTATTTCAATAAAAGTCAAAATAAAGATCAAAATTTGTCGACGAGACGTTCCTTTCAAAATCAGAGTCGAAGTGGAACGCGAACAAACAAAAGCGATTCGACTGCTTCAAGTTTTATCATTTCGGGGCAACCGATGAACAACGTGAACGTTTCATGTTTCACAGATTTTCTAAAATAATCCCTCGAAAATTCGATTGTTTTATATCCCAATAATTGTTTTGAATCACAGATTCAACAGTTGCAGATTGATTTCGTTGATCTTAAAAAGCAGAGTTCGTTTCCACCGTGGCTCGGGATATTATTCGAAAAGTTATTTGCTATAGTCGATCCGTGCAACCTGCAACAAATAGACATTTTTACGCGATATCTCTGGTAGATGGTAAGCAGCAATGTTACCGGGTTATCACTCGCTCGACCTGGTTATGAAGTTCTGTACACGTATCGTGACTAATTATCTAACAACTGCGTCATATCGGAACGTAAATACTCGTCCTGTACGTAATTAATGTAGCAACGAAACACGTAAGGGACGCAACGAGGTTTGCTCCTCTTTCTTCCTCTCTGTACGATAAAAAGATTCGAATCAAAGTTCAAGCGGGTCCACGGTCTCTCGGGTATCCAGGGGTCCTTGATAAGAAGATAATCGTTGGCGTCCAAAAACATGCTCCCGCGAATTAAATGTATTGTAAGTCACTTTTGAAAGCGACGGTTATCAAAATGTTATAAATAGCGACGGATTAAATTTTTCCTCTTTTTTTTCTTCTTCTTTCACTCGTGATTTTTGAGAAATAAACAGCTGAGTTTCCGCATCATTTCTTGAAGCAAGAGCTCGGTCTTTGCGAACGTGAAACTCCATACGCATAATTGATATTTTTAACGAGTATTAAGTACTGCAGTATCGACGATGATCATTAATTTGAGTATTTAGAATGCGCATTGTTTATCGTGACTCTGGAATATCATTGATACTGCAGGTTGATTTATCTACATGAAGACAGTTTTATCGAACTATTTCAACTTGCGTTATAATAGATAGATGTTCCCTCGTCTACGTTCAATGGCAGGATTTCGCAAATCATTCTGGGATTTTATTTCTCTATTAAAGTATAAACAGTGGTAATTTTACTTATCGTTGCTTATTATTCTTGGAAACTTATATAATATAAAAATACGTATTATATACATTTGCAACACGGTTGTAATATCATATTTACAAAATTCAATAATTTAATCCTCATTCTCGCGCACGGTGAGACTATTTTTGCGGTAGGGTGTCGAACAGTTGTATCTCGTAGACAGGTTTCCCATCCTCACTGATCCAAATACTTCCATTCTGAGCGCATCTGATCACGTAAACTAATCCGTGTGCCACGCTGTCCACTCTAGTGCAACAGAAAGAGACGTAAATATATCAATGACATAAAATATATTAGTAGCTAAAGTATATATATATATATATATATATATATAGTTCGAAGAGTTAAAAACTTTTCAATACTCGGTACCAATCGATTGAATTGATCGTTTGCAATTGATATTCCAATTTTATTATCGACGAGCGATCTCTCGCTCACCCCTAAGTTTCGCGAATTTCCAATTATTTTTGAAAATACTGTTTATCGAAGTATCGAGTGATTACTTGACAACAATTATCATTAATAACAATTAACGAAGTAATCGAAGCAACTGTTTACTTCCATCAGAAATAAACAAAGTGGAATAACCACAAATATTCTTACAACCATCATTAATGAAAAAAGTTGAAGATGAATTTTCAATCTTCGGGTCAGTCGTTCAGCCTCGAGTATTCTTACAATTATCATCGAGTGAAACATACCTTCGGATGTATTTCTGTATTACTTCATCCCGCGAGGGATCGCCTTCCAAATCTTTCACATCTGGGTTGGACCTGTGAGAAAGCTCAGGGCACAGTACCATTATCCTTACGCCAGTCTTCTCGTAATGATAAGGTAGCTGTGAAATCGTCAGATCGGAGATTTACAGCCGAGACTGAGAATACAATACGACCAAGAACTTACCGCAAACGAACGACTGAAGCAGACCACAGCGTGCTCGGTGGCGGAATATACTGGAAGCTGAGATAACGAGTACAGACCAGCCACAGACGATATGTTTACGATAACACCCCCCTTGCCACCGGCGTCCTTTTGCATTTGTTGAATCCCCAATAGAGTCCCTCGTATCACCGCCGTCTGCGCAAATCGATCACAATTAACACGTTCCATGCCAAACCATTTTTGCCTTTTGTTGTCGTTCACATTTTGATATTTTGACTAGCTTGATATATCGATATATTATCACACAATCTTTCATTACATCATCAATCGATAAGTAGTTTCTTGTTTAGAGAGCTGCTATCACATCGTTAGAGTAGCTATCACATCTGTAAATATTACCACTTGTGGTAATATTATTAGAAATATGCTGGTACACGTGGCCTGGTACCACCTGTGGTAATACACGTGGCCTGAAGATCAAGTTTAACGTGTACCACCGCTGGTACACACGGCACGGAACGTGTTAACGAATATTTTGCAATTTTTTTTTTTTTTTTAATGGAAATTCAACTTTTCCTCCGTGATTAACCTCTT